GGGGGAGGGCACTTTAAGGGACCAAAATGATGGCGGACTCAAGGTGAAATTCAGATAAGGAAAAGGACTGGGAGGAGATAAGATATGGTATACAAAACACACAGAGACAATACTTTGAACCAGAGAAGGGTTCAGAGAGGAAGAGGAAAAAATTATGGGGCCAAAAGGGAGAGTGGTGTCAAAAGGACATCTATAACCTATTACAATTACAGCAGAGTTCAAGGACTTCTAGAACCCAAAGCTTGACATGTACGCCCTGCGAATGGGAGAAAACAGTACTCAGGCAGGTGAAGAAAGAAAGTGTGTGGACACTGAATGGGTGATCAAGAATATACAAAGCAGATTCAAAAACTAAGACCAACATACAAATATTTTTGCGTATGACTGGCAACACAGTAACTCAAGGTCAGATGTTGACATGCTGCAAGTGTGGTTCACTTGAAATCTGCCTGTGCCCAGGTAAGTGTGGCATAAAGATGACTAATCCAATTAACAATATTTTTAACTTTTTGGTGATCTGAAAATATCTCAGTTTTCAAGTACAAATAAATACATTTAAGAGGAATAAAATCCACAATTGACTACATTATTGCTAACAACAAATTTAAAATAAAAATCTGACACATTAAAGTCTTCAAAGTGAATGGAGTTCACAGTGACCACTTTTTGCTGAGAAGCAAATATTATTTCTGCACACAAAGTTTAATACAAAAGAACTTACAAACATGTTCAAGATCATAAAAAATTAAAAAGTTGCAAATGTGGAACAAGGAATTAAAAGAATTAACTAACTAAAATAAACTAGTGTACAAAATATACTTACGAACTAAACAAATACAACACTACACAGATTACAATAAATAAAATACTGAAGTACGAAATTATTCAGGGCCATTTGGAAGAGAGGCCTAAAGGGGCGGGAGAACCACATGAATACAGTATTTAAGACATATAAGGCTTTCAACAGTGTGCCACACAAAGCTAAAAACTGGAGAAGTCCAGGTATGAACAATGTAAATGTTAACATTTATTGAAAAATAACTCTTCAATACTATCTAGCAGACCCAGCAAATAACAAAAGATTGGTACACTGGATTACAGGTTAATATGCAGAAAAAGGGATAAAAACAAGATGATGTGTGTATTTAAAGAGGAATCAGATTACTGCAAACTTTATTAAAATTAAACAAAAACATACAAATAAGCTTAAAAAGTAGAGTTTGAGGTTTTCATGGCAGTGCTGAAGATGGCTGTCTTCTGAGTTGTTATGCTGTGTAATCTGGTACAAGTTTACTGAAGTTTCAGAGGTCCTTGCTGCCTCCATCATCAGGACGATGAGCAAACTTGCTACATAGCGCAACAACTCAGAACAGACATCTTCAAGCTTAAAAAATATAGTGAAACGTTATTAGAGAAAAATACAGTTTTAGAAATGGAAGAAATTCCATACATGCTGTATTTTACACACCAATAATCATGGGAAGAAGAGAATTAAATTTCATAATATATGCTATAACAACAAATTATGAGAAGGCCTGTGATTGCTTAAATGGGGAAAACTTACAATATGTTCTAACAGGAAGCACTAAGAAATGTAGCAACATAAAATCTGTAAAGAATTTAAAAATCTGTATCAAGTATCCAACAGGACAGATCTCAAAACCATTATTATAATAATGGATAAAAACAAGGATGTGGTGTGTCCCATTCACATATATACGAGGTGCGATCGGAAAGTTTCTAGACTGCGCCTATAAAAACCCGTACACATATCTCAGGTATTAAATTCATCCATCACCCTCGAAGTAGTTCCTCTGGGAGTGAATACAACGATCCCAGCGCCGCTGCCAAGCCTGGAAGCATCCCTGGAAATCTTTCTTTGTCAGCCTGTCAAGCACCATCTGCGATTCTGCCTGAATCTCTTCTATCGTCTCAAATCTCCTTCCCTTTAGCTGAATTTTCATCTTTGGGAAGAGGAAGAAGTCACACGGAGCTTAAAAAGGAAGTTGGGGTCGGTTCTTGCAAGATCTTGGAGCTCCTGACAAACGAGAAGTCGATTCTGCTTCTAGTCCTCTGACAGGATGCGTCGCATGTGGAGTTCTTCCTTTAGAATCAGCTAACAGGTCCCATAGCCTATCCCAACAATGTCGCACAAATCGTTGATGGTACGACGTCGATCTTCGTAACATTTTCGGCCGTTGTGCTCGAAGATGGTCGTCCAGAACGCTCGTCATCATCGACAGAGGTTCGGCCATTTTTAAAACGTGAATGCCACACAAAAGTTTGTGCACGACCCATTGCAGACTCCCCAAATGCTTGCTTTAGCATTCATAGGTTTCCGGAGCCGTTTTGGTGAGTCTTTGGCAAAATTTGATGCACACGCCATTCCGAAATCGCAGGAGGGTCGGTGTAATTCACTACCAAAACGCCCGTAACTAAGAAACAAATGCTAATTCGATGATGCCGGCTGGCACACCGATTCACTATGAATGTAGGCCGCACCCCCTAAAGGCAGAAGCTCGTACTACATCCGGTTCGCCCGCTAATGACAGTCTTGAAACTTTCCGATCGCACCTCGTACATGAACTAAATAATAACTGAATGGAAGCAGCCTAAAAAAAGGAATCAATTGGCATGTAACAAAGTAATTCAAACAAGGTTATATGCAGATGTTCAAATAATAAGGGACAAACCTGAAAATGAGTTAAGCAGCCATACACCAACTGAAGAAAACTGCATATAAATAATATATGACAATTTCCACATCAAAACAAGTGATGGAGATATATGAAAGACATAGTCAAAGAGTCAAAATAGAAAAAGACCATAAGCTAACAGAACAAGTAATTATCTGATTTCATGTACTTACAAAACAGGACTTCAAAACTGGAAAAAAAGATAGATATAAAGTTACAAATATCCAGTACAACAAAATTAATTATATAATTAAAAGAAATTCTGTAACACAAATGTTAACTGATACAAAATTACGTTTACACGATATAAAACTAGAAACATTTAACGAGGACAGTGAAATCTGGATTTTAAATCAAAAGAAATATAAACTGCACAAATATGGGTTTTCAGACCATTACTAGACTTTACTGCCAAAGAAATTTTGACATCAGAGAAAGATTGAAAGTTACACACATATACCTGAAGAGATACGAGAACACCAAAAAGTTTTAATAATCATTTGGAAATAATGGAAACAGACTGTCTTCCACAACTGGCATAACAATGACCATCTTTGGATTCATAGGACACAAGCCTTAATGACACAAAAAATAAAAGAATGGAAAGACAAAACGAGGAGAAAGAAGAAATGCAAAAAAATACTTTTTTGGAGATGAACTTTCAGTCCAAACATTTTTTGACATTTTGTACATTTAACCAGCCAAGCGAGAATGACGTCCTGAGAAATCATGCCCTATCTACAACTCCACTGTAGTGAGTGGATAACTATGATGATTTTCACCAATGAAAACATTTAATGTGTTTATCAGACCTTCCAGTTAGTTCTAGAAGATACTTAATGATTGAAAACTGTCCTAACTTCAAATCATTGCTAGTCAACATCACAGTGGCGCCTAAGATAGCATGCATGTGAGTGATGAAGTACTGTGTGAACTATTTCAAGATAATGAATGCAGTGAAATTTCTAAACAAATGTCATGATAATAGTGACATAAACAAGAAAATTTCATCAAATAGCCAACAAAGTGTCAGCTCTGATGATTAAATCAAAAGCTGCAATCGTATCTCCGTAATATTGTATAGGTGAGTAATTAACAACCATTTATAAATCTTGGCAGTTCAGTACATTCACTGTTGAGTAACTGCCAACAGAAAATTTGCATATACAATAAATGAACATTAAGAACAATGATCAGTGTAAAATTTAAAGAATGCATCTGGCAACTCTGTCTACTTGACCTTCCCAGTCTTATTACAAATGCACTGCTATTCACATGCAACGGAAAAATAACAAAACAAAAACTTTCAGAATGTAATGCAACAAATAATTTATATTCTGATACAATAAGCAGTTTTTGAGGTTATGTTTGTCAAGGCATAAAATTTACTTATGACAAAATTAAGATGATTCCTGAATTGTTTGTTTGTTTGTTTGGTTGGTGTGTGTGTGTGTTGGTGGTGTGTGTGTGTTGGTGGTGTGTGTGTGTGTGGTGTTGTTGTTGTTGTTTTTGTTTTTTAATGCATTGCCCCAGATCAAATTGTTTTAGGGGAGGACGGAAGTTCCAGGAAACTAATTCTCTAGTACCTACCAGATTTTAACCTCATGCTGTATTGTTTTATTTGAATTTAATGTCTGTGCGGAACCACATACTGCAATTCACATTAAAAAATCTTATCATTTTCCTGCAACATTCAACTTCACTCTCTGAGCTATAAAAAAGCATTCCTGTTGGTCGGGATAGTGCGGCCACCTTTTGTGAAGAATTTGAAATTGTACACAAGTGTCATACAGTTGATGTTCAAAATGTTGATAACTTAAGTGTGATTTTGACACTTTTATTGATGTTTCTTGATTTTAAGCAATTGTAAAATTGTTCATAGTATAGCAATGCATATTTGGTAGGTGTGTTGGTAATTTTTGTGAGTTTTATTTATGCATGTACATAATAATCTAACCCTAATGAGTTCAGACTTTTATCTTAAAATTACAATCTTTCATGAAAATGTAGCATAAGGGTTAAATATTCTGTCACCTAATAACATTTGGGGTTGGAAATTGTTTCATACCTGTATAAACGGATCCTCCAATAAATAGCCATAAATAAGCCACTGTAAACAGCACACAAATGTAGCCATAATCAATGGTAGGGGAAGGCTATCCACACTCTTCACACTTAAAACATGGGCCTGTAAACCAAAAAGAAACAAAAACAAATACACAATAATCTGAACTGAAGAATTTGTTGTGCATCTCATGAACAATTTAACCCTTGTAGGATTTGAAGTTCACACAGTAGTGAGTATGAAGATGGCTGTCTCCTGGGTTGTACTGCAGTGTAGTCTGGAACAAGTTTACTGACATTTCAGAGGTCCTTGCTGCCTCCTTCATAAGGGTCAGCAAGGACCTCTAAAATGTTGGTAAACTTCCACCAGACTACACGGTGCAACAACCGAGAAGAGAGCAATCTTCAACCTAAAAAAGTTAAATATTGGTGTCACAAGTGTTTTTGTCATACAGCACCTGTCAAAACAGTATCATACACACAACTGTATATATAAAATGTGTTCAATTAATTCAATTCAATTATGTTGATAATAATAATAACATAAAACTCTGGGTAACTAAATTTTTCACCTTTAACATCATTAACTAAATAGACCTGAAGGTTGATGTCAGTGGAATACAACAATTCTGGATCAAAAGGGCAGATTTACATAACTATTTTTTTAAACACCTGACATTTAAAAAAAATCAATATGGTTAAAACACAAAATTCCAAATTTAGGTCTAGAAGTTTCATATGCCAGGTACCATCAACAAAGCAAAAATCTAGAAGACAATATTTTAATAGCAGTAATTCATCTTCAGAAATATTTGAAAATACGTGTATCTACGTGATCTCAAAAAGTTAACTACTACTCAGAGCAAATTTCATTTTCTCAAGATGGTAAATACACAGATGACTGTCTTTTGGATTGTTGCACTATGTACTCTGGTCAAAGTTCACTGAAACTTTTGAGGTGCTTGCTGCCTTCATCATCAGGCAGCAAACACCTCCAAAATGTTGGTAAACTTCTACCATATTACACGGAGTATAACCTAGAGGACAGCCATCTTTGTATTGCACATAGCAGTTTCATTAAAATTAAACAATTAGAAAATTAATATCATACCAGCATTGTTAGTGGTGCAGCAAAAAAAAGAACTGTCATCAAACTGGCCACAAAACCAACAAGTGTTTTAGCTTGGTTCAAGTCAGTTTCATACTGTGTGTAACTGAGTAATGCCAACAAAACTGCTGTAACTCCTAGCATCTGCTTGACAACTACAGACTGAAACAGAATTTTATATCAATAAAAAATTTAAAACATTAACATTTACATCACATGAGGCAAATCTGTTCTATATCGCAGTGAAATGCCAGCAGACATCAGTTTACTTATGATTATCCACGTGCAGATTATTTGCTTTGAGGATTATCCATGCACATTTTGCTTTTATTTGTTGAAATTATTTAAGTTTCATTCAGTTCTTGAACTGGCAGCTTTCACCTTGGTGATAGTGGGGATCATCCCCACTGCTTCCCATTACAGGCACTTATTCATCAGAAAGTATGTAAAAAGACTTCCCTTAATTATTTTGTAAAACAGTATCCTTTTCTTTTGTATCTTCTTTAATTTCTTTTATTGTGTCTGCATTAGACACTTCTACCAGCAGACACAAAAAGCCAACTTCCCTTCTGTCAACACCTGCTTCATCAGTGTGATGAGGATCCCACCTACTGACAGACGACTGCAGATTTACAAGGGATGGCATTAAGAATTTCCACAAATGGCATACATGAGTGGAGAGCAATCCACATACAATAAGACCTGGACATAAATAACACTGGTTTTCCATAAACATGCGGGCCAGAATCATAGAAGCTAATCTCACTGATCCTTACATCTCAGCGGCAAAACATACTGGTCTATGGTATCTGCAATTTCTCCAAAGACATTTGTCGAAGAATGTTTCCTGTTGTCATGCATGACAACAGATGTGCTTTTTACATGATGGTTCTCCAGAACATTTTGGTATAGCTGTACAGGAGTGATTAGGTGGTCAGGAAGCCTGAAAGGAAGATACCGCTGGGGAGACCTAGACGTAGGTGGGAGGATAATGTCAGGTGGGATCTATGGGAGATGGGAGTTGAAGGAGACTGAATTTTTCTTGCCCAGGACAGGGTCCGGTGGAGGCCTTTGGTTAGTTCGGTGAGCCATGTAGTTCGTTAGGTAGTTAAGAGCTTAGACTTTGTCTGACTTTTATACTAACTTACATAATTTCCGAAGTTTCTAGAAGGATGTACTCTAAAAAAGGTATTTTAGGAAGGCTTACACTCCTCTGCCCTTGCTATGCCACCTGTCTGAAATAACCTTTGTGAAAGAAACACCAGGGCAGCAACCTAACACTGAAAGAACATCAGTATACTCACTGCCCTGGCTCAAACACAGCCTCGCCTATAGTTTACTTATTTTGTATGAAGTGTGTTACATGACTGTTTGATCTTGAATGCAGTGTATTAAATTAACAACCAGTAATTAAACACATTAATTAATTTAGTCACACTTCAGAATGTGTGTTAATAAATATATCATGAGATACACGGACAGGTTGTAGATTTAAATGAACCCCAGTACTCCTAGAGTCACAATTGCTTCTACCAGTTCTTATTCTTTCTCATAAGTGAATGAACATAAGTATTAATTAATATTCTAATAAAGTATGTGTCCTGAAAACAAGAAGAAAACAAATGGAAAAATCCAAAGATAAAACATGTAACAATACACAAATCACACAATATCCTTTCTGAAAATTTTGCTATCAGTATAACCTTGCTCACATTCATACATTTACCTTTGCTATAGTGTAGAAATAAAATGTAACTACATAGGCAAGTTGCAATGAGGTTCCTATGGTATTGACTATGATGAGTGATGGATCTTGAAGAAGGAAACCATAGCGTAACCAAATACAGGACCTACAGAAATAACACTACTAGTTACAAACATTCTTTTACACTACAATGTATACTACGAAAAACAAATATATAATTAAAATAATTTTTAACACATTTTGTTTTCTGAATACTGTTGCTTAATATAACAAATGCATCCAACATGGCATATTGAATGTTCTTGATGTATATATTATTTTTTTACCACCCCATCGTGGAACGGAGTGTTCATTGTCCATAATATAAAAAAATGAGGTGAAGAACTCATGAATAGTGTTAAACTGACACAAGTGTGTACTTACAGAAACAGTTATGACTGTAATAACTGCAATGAAGTTCAAAATTATGTGCTGCTGTCATGATAAAAAGCAAGAAAATAACTAGGAACTATGTAAGACTTGAGGTTCTCACAGCGGTGAGTATGAAGATTTCCGTCTTCATACCAGACTACACAGCGCAACAACCCAGAAGACGGAAATCTTCAACTAGGAACTATAAAAGCAATCATGATGCAAATTCAATTTAACAAATAAGAGTTCAATTAATTTGTTTAGAAACTGAAAAAAGCTTTCCACCTCTCATGAGGCTCCTGAACCTTTGGTTTTAACGTGCTGTATCACAATCACTGACCACTACTTCTGCGTAATTGAAGTTGCCACGATGACAAACGTGGTGTCCACCACGCAAGATAAAAAGGGACTCACATCTATAGTGATATTTAAAAAATAAAAACACAGAAAGTTATTTTAAAACCTTCAATTAGTCTTGCTGACCTACCAGGCTTCTTCCTACTACACATTATAAACAATGCCACATTTGCATAATGAATTTTGAAAAACAAAATTACAAAATGTTACCTTGTGATAAATGTCTCCAGTTATCGTCTTATTTATTTTCAGGATTCTAAATCTGACCAGTCTTTGACTTTAAATGTTTCAAAAAAGGAGCAAGTATCAATGGACCACACTATGTAATTCAGACAGTTATACTTCACATATAATCTCATGAAATTTTAGTTTAATTTTGAAAACTAATCATTAACTACAATTCATAGTTAAAAATTGTTAAGCAAATTAATCAACAGACTTACGAAAGGAATCCTGAAACAAATGGGAAAGGCGAAGAATCTCCTGTGGTGCCATTCCGTACATATTTCTGACAAACCAAACTATAACAGAGATAAATCACATTAAATAAAACTAATAAAACTTATATCTATTTACAAAGTGTGTGCTAATATGTCTAGAAAAATTTCTACTACAGGTGGAAATAAAATAACCCTAGAAGGTAACTTCCCTTAAGTCCACTACTACTGCTACTACGCTGCTTAGTCAGTTACATGAAGACAAGTAGGTGAAAAGTTATGTTATCCTAAATGTAAACAGTTACACAGATTCATGTGACCACTTATGCAACCTTTGCATTGCGTCAGTCTGAGCAAAATCACCGTCTTCAAATCAATATATGTGTCAATACATTTTGACATGTCCTCCAGCATCCATGGAGTTACAAGCTGGAACAACACCGTAAATTTAATTATTCAGTCGCCCCCCAATAGGCTGGGACCTTTTCTTTGGAACACCACAAACCATCATTGGGACTTTCTGTAGTGCATGCTGGCCATGGAAGAGGAGGATACAAATCTGTTGATCTATGACCAAATCAATGCTGAAAGTAAATGTTAAGATATTTTATTATAGAGGGAGCAAAGTGTATGTAGCTGCCATCTTGCTGGAACCATAGTTTCTGCAATGACTTTCCCAACATGTCTACATTTTTGGCTCCATTCACAGGACCACAGAAAATAGACAGCACAATTCTGGGGAAACATAACATTTCACTCTCTGTACAGTTGAGGTGTACTACAATGTCCAGTGTTGAATATATCAAAAACTATGGATAATGGTCTTGTGCTACTCCCATTGGCTAGGGATAGGCATTCACTGTCCAGTCCCTATAAACCTAGCCCCCTCCACTCAATTGGCACATCACCCTGATGACAGAGGCAGTATGACCTCTGAAATGTTGGTAAACATCTACCATACTACATGGTGCAACAACACAGAAGACAGAAATCTTCATACTCACCGCTGTGAAAACCTCAAATCATCTATTCTACTCTATTCTATTAACCATCAGTCTAAACCCATATTATTTGCAGATGATATTATTATTTCATTTTGCTCTCATTCCTATCATTTGTAGTGTACAACATAGAAAAAGTTTCAACAAACTCATATATACACAATATATGTACAAAATACAAATATAACCTTTACATGTCAAACACTTAACTCAGTAAATAACAAAATGGAGTTTACTACACTGAAATTAAGCTATTCATCCCCCTACTCTCACAATTCTAAAAAGTTTAAGCCAACACTAAATGAGTATCTCCTACCTCACTCGTTCTACTCCATAAAATAATTTATCTCAATGAAAATTTTTAAACAATTTACAAATACATGCACTCAATAGCATTGATTATTTCTTGTGTAAATATTTTTTACAGTAACACTGTAACAGACTGTATATCAATCACATCTATGTAGTTTTACATTTGTATTAGAAACAGGTATTGTATTTGTGCTATGATGTTCTATATTCTTGGCTTGGGCCTATGATTGATCTAAGTAGTAGTAGTAGTTGTAGTGGGTTTAGAGACACACCAGCTACTCTATTAGTGAAGGATCTATGAAATGTAAATAAATTCTATTCTACACATGCCATGAAGGCATATCAAGAAAATACAGTAAAACTGTAAGTGGTCTTGGTCTAGCAGCTGGTAAGGATAACAATTTTTCACTTGCTCATAATACATTTCAGACTGCTGAAATCATAAAAGCATTTAAATACAATTACACATGATAATTTAAAGTTGTTACTGTTTCATGCAAGGTTTTGACAATACGTACTTACATTCCAGTAAAAAACTGTAATATTGTACAAAATGAAGCTGATGTAGCAATAACGTCTTTAAATCCTTCCATTGCATATCATCAGGAAGTGATCTTTTGTGCTAACAGAAAAAAGGAAACTGATGATGGTTGAGGCAGTAGCAGCTAGAAACAAGTCAGTCCAACATAAGTTCCAAATCGTACTTCACTATGTTATTTCTTAATGCAAAATATGATGTCATACAAAAGTCCAAAATCTGTTTCCTTACAGGTATCAACACGATGCCTGCCTTCTGTCAGTCATTTCATTACCGCTATTTCATAGCCATACTTGCGGCACTAATTTTCTTTAAAACGTTCCACTGTACAAATCACAAAGTTGCTGTAATGCTTACCATTGTATTTAAACATGAATTCTAGAACAATGAACTGAAATGCTTTCCACGGCATAATCCTTGATACTTGAAGCCACAGATACCGAACCGGCAATAATCTAACCAAAACCGCAACAGAAGATAACAAAAACAAGTGTGAAGTGCTTACGACATATGAGCAATCGTATTCACATGGTTGCCAACTAGGTATATTCTTCACTCTCGAAAACAAACTGTATTGTGTCAGTAAGACGTGGAGAGGTGATATCATGTTAAATCGCAACGGTATGGCACATTATGAAGTTGCAGGTGGAGGGGTTTGCCTCCAGATTTGGAGGGTAGCTGCAAATGTATTGTATAAACTGTTCTCGGCGTAGGGAATGGGCTGGGGCTAACAACTACACAATTAAAAATGTCATGCTTAAAAATGTTGCACAGGGCTTCAGACTTTGACAGATTGTTTTGAATGACATAAGCAATGGACAATGATTTGTAACTTGGAAATGTCAGTAGTCTCCATTGCATAGGTTCTCTGAGAATATAAAATGTTACCAACTTAGAATTTAATAAAATATGAAAATGTTGATCTGGATGAAGATTTTCAAAGTATTAAGAATAGGAAGAAGAATTTGATATACCATTTATGTAATGTACACGGGGTGATGTAAGGCAATAGAAATACAACTACATCATTAGTAACTGAACCTAGTTAAGGAAATTATTTATTTGATTAAGGCTCTGTGGGTTTTTACAAATTACAGCATTAAGTATGGATGGCCAAACTTCATGCTTCTATTCTGACTGCCTGAATGTGCATGGAACAATCACTCACTGCTCAGTTACTTGCATATCTTCACAGTTCACTTGCTGAACTACCCAAACTCAATGAACTGGCAGGGAATGATCCTCGATTCCACAAGGCCTGCCTTATGTACACAGAGCGTAACATCTCCCGTGTCCTGGATCTTTTGACATTAACATAGCAAGGCAGGACAGGACAAAATCATTATATATAGGCAGCTAATATACCCTTAGAAAATGTGGCAAACAAAATATTTTGGAATGACATTAAATCAAAATTGCATTCAAAAGGAAAGTGTGAGCAGACTAAATTTCAGGAATTCTTGCAAACATGCAGTTCAGAATTTTGTCCTCCTGTCATCTGTCTAAAAACGTAAATATTAAAATATACAAAACTAATTATACATGTTGTTATTTATGTGGGTGAAAGCTGGCCTCTTGCATTATGGAAAGAACGCAGATCGAGGGTGTTTGAGAACAAAGCGTATAGGAGAATATTTGAATCTAAGAAGGATGAAGTGACTGGAGGCTAAAGACAACTATATAATATAGTTTGGACTCTTCACCAGACATTTAGTTTGATTAAATCAAGGAGGGTGAGATGGGTAAGGCATGTAAAGGATATGAGGAGATGGGATATAAAAAAACTCTGGAGAACCTGGCATAATATATGGATCTTACAAACACCCAATTTGAGGATGTGGATTGAATTCATCTATTTGAGGATTAGGACTGGTGACAAGCTCTTGTGAACATGGTAATGAACCTTCAGATTCCATAAAATATGGGGAATTCCATTAACTCAGCACAATACTAGCTTCTGAAGAATGATTCTGCTCCATGAGGTTTATTGATACTACTCCTAACACTGGGGTTGTAAGATAATAGTTGCTTGATGCACTGATTTACCTACATTTTTCTGTTATAAGAAGATGGCTGTCTTCTGGGTTGTTGCACCATGTAGTCTGGTAGAAGTTTACCAATGTTTCAGAGGTGTTTGCTGCTTCTGAAACAATGGTAAACTTATACCAGACTATATGGCATACCAACCCAGAAGACAATCATCTTCAGCTACTGCAACTGCCTGATTACCCAAATATGAAGTATTGTTTGTCTGAATAAGATCTTGAAAACTTCTGTAACAGCAAGCAAAGGTTTTAATCAGGCTGAGTGCCAAGATTTCAAAATTATATCTGGCTTCTCTCACCTTCACTTAATGCCAAGGTAAAAATGGACAGGAGTTCAATGCACAACACTAAAAACAGCAGTGACTTCAACCTTCACCAGTATACCCCAACACCAAATCAAAGTCAATACCATATTTTCAAAGTGTCTACTATATTATATTTCTGTGTCCAACAACGCCCAATGGACATTCCTGTGTTAGTGAGAGTAGTAACTCTACACAATTTATACTCAAACCTGATTCGGCTGCCATCTAGCAGTGAACCAGGAAACTTAGGTGAGAAATGGCCGCTGAAACATCTCGTTTGGTTCTTTTACATGCTGTAAATCTACGTCATGGTACCACCGGATTTACTTCCCCTCCGAAGGAAGTTGTGCTACAGATTTTATCATCCTTAAAATCCATCGACCTCGGCCGAGTTTGTCAAAATACAGTTGAGTGAAAGGGATGCTGGCTTTAGTTAGCCTCTGGACAGGTTTGAGGTGGTACTCTCCCCAACTTTAATGGGGCGGTAAGGAAGACCACTGAAGAAATGGCACATGACCCTTAAACTTGAAATCAATCTACCTAAATTATGAAGATGGCTGTCTTTCGGGTTGTAATGCCATGTAGTCTGGAAGAATTTTAAGAACACCCTGATGATGGAGACTGCATATACTTCTGAAACATTAGTAAACTTCTACCAGACTACATGATGCTACAACCCAGAAGACACAAAACTTCATACTCACTGTGGTGTAACCACAAATCCTCCACCTAAATCATGGTTATGATTCTTCCTCTGTATCATATATGATGGTTACACTGACATGGCTTGGTCTCCACAACCTTGTTTATTAAACCAAGGCACAATAGGTGAAGGAGAGGTTAATACTAAGTACGAGAGGATTTAAGATGGTCATCTTCCACCTTACACATGACAGAATTTCCAAATTTAGTATTGTTAACAATTCAACTGGACAGTTATACAGGAAATTCATCATGGAACACAATCTGTGTAAAACTGAGTTGTACTGGATGTTAGATATAAATAATCCAATGGGTATAAATGTATGATACATACAAAAGTCCCCCACTATCTTACTGCCAACTATACCTTCATATGACACATCCTGTTTTCAAAACTGAGTCTCTAGTTACCATGTCATAGCCATGCCATAACATCTGTCACAGCAGAAATATAATCTTGAATACCTATAATTAGTGTAATGTGAGTGTTACAACTGATGGAAAGAACAATCAAGATCCTACAAAACATCACACAGTGATGCTGCACTACAAAACCGAAGTATAATCTAATTATAACTGACAGATATAACCATTGTATGTAAATATCTAGGTTACAATATATTTAAATTTTTAATTTGTTTGATGTGTTGACATGATTAACTCTCCAGTGTAAATGACAGCACATTCCCTTCTGTTCAGTGTGTATTTACCAACGTTATTAGTACACACATTACTGAAATATAAGGAAAAAACCTTATGCACTACATTAATTGAATTGAATTTTTACTATAAACTACATTTCAGTAACATTAGAGATTACAGGAACAATATTAGGGCATATCTAGTGAAGTAAACCTTATGGATAAACACTACATTATGAAAATGTTCTTTGGAGCATGAAAATAAAGCTCTGTACTCTCTTATTGTTCATACTACACAGAGCTAAGTGGTGAGACACACTCCGGCTATCTTTACTCCTGGGAAAAGTGCTCAGAAATTGGAGGAGGCTGGATGGGACCCAAGAGCCATTCGACATACAGATTGCAACAAAAACTGCAATGCTTCTGTGATTCATCATGACACTTTACCGAGCTGAGAATTACTTAAGTCTGGTAAAGAACCTACTTTGGATGGACAGAAGTGAAAAAATTGGCATAGGAAAAGCTTCTGCACACAACAGTCAACCTTCTGATTTGAGTGTTGAATGTATGAGTTAACTGTAATATATTTATATTATTTTTCATTTTCCTCCATATTCTCAACATAATTTACTACAGAATTGCGTCGTTTCATTTTCTAAGTAGTTCTCCTAAAATAAATTACAATCCCCTATCAAGAGCATTCCTCTCCAAGGCTCTGTTGTTAACAAAACCTAACCTAACATACATACAGTCCTAATTTCTCCTACATCAAGCATCCATTTGTCACACAAGAGATGCCTTACCTGTTCACCTTAAAATGTCTCATTCCTCCTTTTATTGCAGCAACAATCCACTACTTAAAACAAGTGAATTCCAGGGAGAAACATAATTTCAGATGACAACATAACAAAAGATATGGAAAAGATCTGTCTTACACAAGATAAAATGCATTAAACAAACTACATTTCTTGTATTTTATTTTATTTAAAATATTTCAACAATATTATCATAAAATGGAATGAACCCATGGGAATCTCATTACTATTGTAAGACTATTAAAGGCACTTTAAATACATAAGTCTCACCAGCCAGTCTTGACATGATAAAACATACTTTCATAGAATGTGATAATACCTGACAAATAAATGAAATATTTTGATATCATATTTAAGAAGACTGTTTGTTAAAGGTGACTATGATATGAAAGGAAAAATAAATCAATAACTTTCCAAGGATTTTCTCTCCAAAGAAACAATTTTTGTGTTCATCATTTTTCTGCAACATGATGCATCAGTGACACAGTTGTATAAGCTTTTTGTATGGCCATGTGCCTGATTTTTAAAACAGAAAAATCTATAATTTTCCCAGTATTGTTATGCTAAAATGAACTTTTCTTTTCGCATGTACCATCGTTTCTATGACACATCACTTGGAAGAAATCAGATGGGCTGGGAGAGCAGATTTTTGCTATTAAACAGGTGTCCTCTCAAAGATTCCATTGTGTTAAAGATATTTTATTAACCAATAAAGATATGTAACAGTATGTGAGACAGAAATCAAGCATATCTCAAACAATTTTTGTTAGCATGTTACCGTTGTGTTCTTGCACAGATTCAATTGCACAAAAGTGTTCCTTATGTGATCAGCATCTTTAAAAAGATGGAGAGACTGCAAGTGAAACCACAGTGTGTGTTATGGCCAACTGAAGTTTGTTGTTCTTATGCAAAGGGCATTTTAACAAATGCACCACAGAGACCTACAGACAGAACCATCAAGATGTATAAGAAGTACTGAAATACCAGTGGTGTTTTGAAGAAAAGAAAGCATGTTGGTCAGACAGAAACTTCAGATGTTGAACGCATATCATGTTCATTCTCAGGCAGCCAGAAGAACTCTGTGAAACAATGCAGCCAGGAACTGCACATATCACAAACAACTTTGTACAACAACTTGCATAAATGGCTATGTCCATACACATACAAACAAAATTTTTCAACAGACTAAGGAAGAAGACAAAATACTATGCTCTCATTTTTCTGCCTTTGTTCTGAATCGTCTAGCAGACAATATGTATTGCCTGAAAAAAGTTATTTTCATGAATGAAGCCCCTTTTCACACTGGCGGTGGTAAACAGGCATACCTGCTTCATATTGGGAACTGAGAATCCCACAGAAATTATCCAGCATGTCCATGACTGCAAAATTAATGTCTAGTGTGGGTCGCTACATAACATACTCATAAGACCCTTTTCTTTGCTGAAGCTACTGTTAATGCTATCATCTATCATTGGCATGCTTGAGATATACACCATCCTACAGCTGGAGGGATTAAAATTCTTCTAAATGAGAGTGTTCTTCCCCATTACAACAAGAGTTGATGAAGCACTTGATGTGAGATTCCCTGGTTAGTGAACTGGAAGGGGAAGTCCACAGAGTCTAATTTCATCCTGTGGGGTTATGTCAAGAGTGAAGTATATAGGCCTACTGGACAACACAAATGAACTCAAAATGCTGGGTACCTGCAGCTGTCGTTGCTGCTATACCAGAGATGTTAAGCTACGTCTGGTTTGAAATGAAGTTTCAGTTGGATGTCAGACATGTTACTACAGGAGTCATGGGAATTAACAAAAACTCCTTCACATAGACTTCATTTCTGTGTCAAATGCTACTATACATCTTTAATAGTTAATAATATATAGCTTCCTGAAACTATGGAACCTCTAAAAGGGCATCCTGTATATATGGAAGCCAAACATAAGTTACAATGTTTTATTATTTATATATTAAAGTTTTGAATAATTTGGCACATTTAACCCTTTCACACAAAGCAAAGATACACCAGTTGTTTATATGTTTCACTGATGCAACCAGAACACATCATACAAATATCACACTCAATTTATATCTAATGCAGCCCTGTCAATCACCTTAGGACCCCAAGCCTCTTTCAAGCATTCATAAAGAGTGTCAGGCAAAACATTATTACAAAATTATGGTATATAAAAAATAAACACTTTTTTGGCAGTCAAATACAATACTGTATTTACTAATATAATATCAGTCTTTAACCCATTATTTTTAACAATTAAACTAGGGGAGTGGGTCAATTTGTAGATTAATCCTTTAAACAGATTCTTGGTACTATGTAAAAAAAGCTTCATACATGACATTTGCTGTTATTTTCTGTAGCATACACCACTTTTTTCCAACTTTTATAGACTTGCTGCAAATGTTTCTCCATTAACTTAGTTATCTTGATGTCCCATCTCTGTCTGGCACCCTTAAATGCCACACTCTAAAACCATGAGTAATGAGTCACACCTAGCACTCTCACATGACTGGGATGTAACATCGTGTTTAATTAGCAGGTCTGTTTTGAGTAACCTCCATTCCACAGCAAGAAGCTATTTAGGAAAAGTACTGATGTTGGCATGCCACAGTGATTAATCTTCCAGAAGCAGTTAATAGAAATTTTTAGAACTCGTTAGTGTGAGTTCCTTGGGATTGACAGGGGCAGAGTTCTTGTGCAATCAGTAATTAGAACTAAATAACACACCACAATAGAATTATATGATAAAATAAATCTACACATTTCCTTCCCAAAAACAGGAGAGGGGGTATTATATTAAGAGGGACATTAGATGAATAAATACAGTATGTCACAACATGATCACAATTTTGGCCAACAAAATGAATGAGCATTTGGTAAGTTCTTTAACAGAATCAAATATCAATATTCAATGAGGAACCTGGCACTGCATCTCATCAACCAGTTTACTGGTGGAATGTACAAAGTCACAGCCATTTAAGTGCTTATCCATTCACATTTTACTGTGCCTTGTGATAATTTGTTTAAAGAACACAATCATTCAAATATATAAAAATGTTTCAATAGGAACAATGGACTAGATTCTGGGCCATGATAATTCTGACCCAAATTAGCAATTTGTTTTTAAATTAGAAGCATTTTTGTTTTCGTTTGTTTTCACAATAACTTGCATACATTTACTGTGGGCAACAAAAATATAATGTGGGTAATATTTGCTACACATTGGAAAGGCCCACCTGGTTAAAGGCATTTCTTGCAGTTTTATTTTTGCTGTAACACCTTTCAAACATGCAATTATCTTACTGCACTCAAAATATTTGATAGAACACCTTTGTCCACAACTCTCAGTGTTTGGTAGAGCAGTGAGAAGTTTAAATGCACATAAAAAAGCAAAATTTAATTAAAAAATAAAAGCAAAATACAATTTAGCTACGAATATCACATGGAGAGAAGACTGTGACCCTTTACTACAATTACTTACCACACTTCCCTAAAGCAATATGGCTTTAGTATTAAAACCTATATGAGCAGTTCCCTATGGAACAGTGTTTGTTGCATAATGAACAGATAACATTTTGTATTAATCAATACAGGAAGCACCTCATTTTGCACTTTAAAGGAAAAAACTACTTGAATCAATTATAAAAATTAATATCAAAATGAAGAAAAGGGGTACAGTATGCAAAGAATTAATTCATGCAATCAGGAATCTGATACATGTTATTAGTCTCCTAACTTTCCTACTGTCTTTTATCTACTCCTAGTCGCGGGACCCAACTTCGATAAAAAAACTTGTGATATGAAGATTGCTCTCTTCTGGGTTGTTGCGCTGTGTAGTCTGGTAGAAGTTTACCGACGTTTCAAACGTTCTTGTGATGATGGAGGTATCAAGGACCTCTAAAACGTCGGTAAACTTCTACCAGACTACATGGCGCATCAACCCAGAAGACAGCAATCTTTAGACTCACTGCCATGAATACCTCAAATTCAACTTGGCATTCATTTTGTATGTCTCTACTAGTCAGTGTTCCCAAAAAGTCCATTAACCTTTGAAAGCTGAATGGTAATTACATGTACTAGCTGCTTAACAATCATCGACTGCATTCTGTATTGATGGATTCTGTATGATTCTCACTGTAAACAAAGATTAATGATTTGAACAGCATTAATCAGTTGTTTGTAATGGTGAAGTGTTGTGTTTTCTTTGCGGTATGGACTAAATTCCTCAATATTATTTTGACGAGCTTCAGCTTCAAAGGGTTAAATACGTTGATTTCCCAACATAATGTCTGAAATATTATATGAAATCCTAGAAGGTTCCAATAATTTCAACTTAATTTCTGAATGATTACTTGCAATACACTTTCAGAAATATCATAATACTGAATATGGTGTACCAACTAAATTACTTTCTGAGTGGATAAAGCAAATTTGGCATTATCCAGTTTGGTATTCAAGATATTACAGTTCCTCATTGAATAAAAAAAAATTGTACCACTACTTACTAAATAATCCATAAAAATTGTGATAATTTCCATATTCCATATTTGGTTCCAAATATCTTCTGTACTTAAGAATATAAATTTAATAAAATTACGCTGTTATTGCTATAAAATTGTACATCAAGATTAACATTATATATATGTAATAACTGCATATTTATAACTTTAATATTTAACATTAAAATTATTTACAGTGAGGGTTGCATAAAATTGTTAAAAAATACAAGGTTCCTAAAATGCCATAAATAAATTGTTTCTTTAACCAAACTGTTTTCATTTTTGTGACCATAAAGGTGTGAAACATACATATTTCAGTATTTCATAATTGGAACATAAAATACTAACTGATAACAAAGTATTTCTTCTACTATTCTTCTCATTTTTGTAGTTTTACACCTTATAATTCTTAAGTTGGCTTTATGGTAATGGTAAAATGCTTTCCTCACTGTAATAGCCTTCAGTAAAACTTTAACAAAGTATTCTTAAAAAAGTATTACTGTTTCTTCTTATCCTTCTTTTGAGGCCTGCTGGGATAGATGGCAAACAGCGACAACTGAATAGAAAAGAGTGTAAAGCCCACTGCATTTTGGAACTGAAAAAAAAAGAGCAAAAGTTTCATTTAACTTGTATTTCCTGGTGACATGAACTGTTTCATGAGACACCAAATTCAGCTAGCTTTATGAAGAGTTATGTGCAAAACAGATTAACTATTTAGGAACAATACAATGTTGGGTATAAACTGGTGGAAGGCCTTATACATAATTACATCAAAAATAAGCTGATCACTTTAAAGTACAGTGAGATGTTGACAAAAGATAATGCTCAGCTTATAAACATTTCAAATTTAAAAATATTTTAGAGTATGTGTTTAGCTTCCTTGCAGAAACAAACAGAACCTGTTAGCATTTTTAGACAATGTTTCCTAGTACTCAGTCATTACATGATTTGTTGCTATTATAAGAAGTGATAGCAATAAAATTATGGTCATTTGAACAGCGAGCCAATTTATAACACAATTAATTAACAGGCAAACTTATGATTACTACTTAATATTTGATCATAAGAAACGGTTACCTGAGAAATATTAAAACAAAGCACTGACATAATGGGCATCATACATGAAATATTCAAACCCCCAACAAACAAAATAAAAATTAAATAAATAAAGCTTACAAGATTTTTAGGAATAAATATGTTGGTTTATGAAGATAAAACATGGATATTACACAAGAAGGACCTATTCCAACTACAATATGTGAATGACACTCATCAGAAAAATAATAGGTTATGCACTACTGGATTTAACACAAAAATACTGACATAATGAAGCAACTAAATACTCTGTGCATAAATTAATTTAAATAAGAGCACATTTCAAACTGGAAAAACTTGTTAATCAAAAGGATCAACAGTAAAATGATACAGTATCAAACCAGGCAACCAAAATCAAAAACGCTGAGAACAAAGGAACAAGAAATTTAGTTTACTTCATGCAAGATAAAAATAATCACCACAGACACTAAGCAAAGGAAATATGAAGATAAAGGAGATTAATTGAAAGACTATGGATAAAGACCTTTGCAAAAGCCAAAGAACACAAAATATTTTGAACACCCTTAATCTTCCAGGTTTATTGGGTTTTTGCACTTTATCCATCGCCCAAGGTTAAAATGTGCACGACGTTTCAAATATGGGATCCATTTTTGTCTTCAGGAGTATGGGGCAGGGTCACCTACTCTGTTGGGTCCATTAGAAAGATCTAGTCTCAATCACTGGACAACCTGGGTCAGAATAGAAACATAAGTGTAAACACCTCAGATCAGGTTCTGTTGACCAGAGACAATAAAAAGATATATAAATGAGATTTATGAAAAAGGTATAAAAGTAAAAGACTAAAACTAAAAAGGAGGAGGAAATAAAATACATCAAACCAAGACAGAGTAGATGCCCCTGCCCCATATACCTGAAGACCAAAACGGATTTGGTTTTTGAAACGTCATGCGCGTTTTAACCTTGGACGACGGACGAAGTCCAAAAACCCAATAAACCTGACTTTATCACACCATCGTCAGAACCGTACAGAATCCAATCCTTAATCTTCTTTTTATTTAGTAGGTGTGCAGAGTATCTCTGCTTCAACTTGCCAATATGCCTTCCACATTTACAGTCACAAAAACAAACTGATCAAGAACTAAGTTCTTCACTAACATTTCACATGGTTGAAGATGGCTGTATTCTTGGATATTGCACCCTAAAGTCTAATAGAATTTAACCAGTTTTCAGAGGTTGGTTTACATTTCAATCAAAAGCCCTTCAACATGCATATCTAGAGTGAACTACATCACTGCCCCTCGTTCTCACCATTTCATTCTAGACAAACATGAAACCTTAATCAGCTGCATAATCACGAACACCACAAATGAAAGCCCTTATTTTTTGTGCTTGTAGAAAGCAGGACCAGCAGACAGCACAGGAACAAAATGTGCCTGCTGAATATCTGTAGTTATGAGAGTAATTCTGCTTTTCTTCTTCTGTGACTCTTGTAACATTCTTTTACAATTTGTCTGCTTTCAGTAAATAGTCCTGTTGTTCTTTAGGAAATCTGAAGCCAATGTTTTAATGTGAACAGAAAAATCTCCAGTTCCTGTCTGAAATTACAGTAGTTGTACCTTGTTCATGGCATAAAGTGTGTTGAACAACTCTCAACAGTAAGGTCACAGCAGTTTAGGTACATCTTATTAAGATTTTGCATCCTCAAGTAACGTGACTGATACTCTAAAATCAATCTGATATGTTCATGCATTTTCTCCATACTTCCACCTGGGCTTGCTTAGTTTAGTTTAATCATTCTCATGCCACTTGTGGCAAATTTTCATAATTAGTAGATCATGCGGAAACCTTAATACCAGGTGGAACATCTGCTGCTTCAGTTTCATCAACTTCATAGCACATAACACTTTTCGTTGTGAGACTGTTAAGACTAAGAATTTCTCTTAAGCACGGTAAAAGAAGAAAGAAACACACATAAAAGTCTTACCTGAATGAATGAGTTTTTAATTATTATACCATACAGAAGCCACAAAAATGTAACTACAGTTCCTGATAATATCAGAGGGAACGGCAGCATTTCAGTACTCTTTGTCCGAATCACATCTCCCTGCAAATAAACATTATTCATTTACCACGGCTTCATTCTTTCCCTGAAACCAGGAAATTATCATGAGATCTCACTAAGTAGGATTGTGCTTTGCCATGGGCATGGGGGCTGTTCGAAGATAAGAAGAACAAGAAACCATATCAAATTAGCTGATGGTTGTAGTGCAAAGGTCACTTAGAAGCCCACACCATTTATTTCCTTTACACTTATATTTGCATTACTAGGGTTTCTGCATTCATTGAGACATGTATTAATCAATAATAAGAACCATTCCATTTAGTCACATGCTGTCAGTGTGGTTCATTTGAAATCCGCCTGTGCCAACTGAGAGTAGAGTAACAGATAGTTGCTACACTAGATGTTTCCACCAAGGAGAAGCAACGTTAAAAGCCCTGATAAAAGCAGCAGTTTCCACAAGAGTTAACCTACAGTTCCCAAGAATCACTGCTTGAGCACACTCAATCCATGACATAATGGGGATTTGAACTTATGATCCAGCATATACAGGTAGCCCTCGATTTACGCCGGGGATGCGTTCCTGGATGAACCGGTGTAAATTGAAACTCTTTTATAGTGTAAATCAATGGGAAGTCAATGACATGCGTTCCCAGCACCCAAACACTGACGAGTAATATAATGATGGCATTACGTTTAAAGCTCTGAAATAACGTAAATAAAATAAAGGGAATTTAAAAAATATATTTTATACACTTACAATCGGCAATTCGTTGGTCCTCGCAATTGACTGCGATTCTTTCATGTGATTGAATGTACAGCCAGCTCTGCTGTTATGTAATAGTTGCAATCATGTAAGACGCCGACCTATAGAAAATCGCGTAGTAAAAATAACCCCGGTACCTCTGCAGAGATTAAATTAGTCCTTTGAAAGTTTAAAGTGCCAGGAATGGTATTGCATAAGAGCAAACTAGCATATGCAAAAGTTTGCATTTCACAAACAGCTTTTACCGATTCATCGATCTCATTGGAGCAAATTCGCATTAACGAAACATACGTAATTGCAGAGATGACTGCATTTATAATTTTTATTCAAAATCAGCAATGTGAGAATTACGATTTAGTATAAAAATCTGTATGAGATACATTGTAAAACGTTATAAATAATAGTGAAATATATTTTTTCCACTTTTTGACTTGCTGGTTTCAAAATCAGCGTTATTCTGAATCGGCACAAATCGAGCGTTACCTGTATTCAAAATGGATTTAATTTGACCAATACCATGTTAAAAATAAGTATAGGGACCCATAAACTTCCCTCAAGGTGTACTTTGCTCAGAGTTACAGTAATACAGATCCTCACATCTTTACCTTTTGATAAGGGTAAGGAGAATATAATTTTGTTTCTATAACTTACCAATGAAAGGAGTGGAGAGGCAATTAAAAGCATGAAAAGCGTTGTGATGATTAATCCATACCGAAATTCCACAAAGTCAGGATTTTCCCAAAATACATAGGCAATTAAGGCAGCCACAAATGCTGTGGTGTAAAATATCTGCTTCTGCAATTCTCTCTAATTACAAAAATAAAACACTTTATTAGAAACATTCTTTTGTTATAAAATAAAACTATTATTTTCATATATGTCACTAGTCATTAGAAACTGTAACAACATAATTGTGCTGCTTTTACTTCTCTGGAGATTATAATAAGCCTCAGACAACTTTAAATAAAAGGTTTATAAGCTGCTAAAGAAATACATACTACCATCCAACCTTTGTCTGCCTCAGTCATATGGAAACTGCTGATATATTTCCAAGTAAATTGACAATCAGCAGCAACCATAAGAATTTTTTTAATTTTAAAGGGTTATGATGATGGTGTGTTACACTCAGGATTACTATTTTCTCTTACTTACCTATCATCTGATATTCAAAAGAATGCACCATTTTAGAATTCTGTTTCCATCCTCAGGCAAAAAAGGAAGGGGCACCTACTTGGTTGGGTCCGTTAACCTCAGTTACTGGACTGGACAGTCAACCATACCACATATCACGCACCTACATTCTTCATCAATTATAATAACACACATGAAACGCAAATTAATTTTTTATTGTCATCACGCCATTGTTTTATGCTTTAGATATATGTGGGATTAACAACTGCTATTTTTAAAAACTTATCAAAGTTCTAAACATATATCTACTGCTCTCACATCTAAGTCTGAATGGTTGTCTCGAAGTTACACTTTCATCCCTGAGGATGGAGGCAGAGAGAGTTCCTGAAATGTAGAAAATTAATTCCATGCTCACACAGCTAATCATTTGAAACGGTACAAGAATGTGTGGAGCACCCCTGTATAGGCCTCCACATGTGCATGTGCACATGTGTATGCACACACAATTTAAGGTCCACAGCTGAACCTAGTACAATATCAAAATATGTGTGTATACGTGTCACGCTGCACCACTAAGGTCCTAAAAACAATGCAAATAAAGTAAGTGACCTCACGGTGTGGTACCTGTGCTTAGTGAACTGTTCTAAAAGCAGATAAAACCTTTAAAAGGAAATAAATTAGCTGTAGGTAGATACATGGAATTAAAAAAGGGAAGAAAGAAATGCATACTTGATTTTTTGGAAGGAAAATCTCTTTTAAAACCATGAAGAGCTGCCCACATACCATACAGAAAATAATAGAAAATATACGTGTGATGTCACGCTCTTTTGATTACAGGACCTGAATTTAATGAAAGTACATAATAATATGGTAAATCCGTGCATAATGTGACAGTTACAAGACCATGTGCCCATTACAGTGTACGCTGTTTACAAAATTTACATATTAGAAATATGTGTAGAAGGTTAATCTAAAACACATACACTTAATAAATACTGAATACGTATGTGATCTATAAAATAAATAGCAATTTAAAAATTTCAATACAGTTTATTTTAAGAAAAACTATGGTACTATAGGTAGTCATGGATGTAATTCCACACAAAGATTACAATGCATCATTTTATATGGACAAAGAAATGCACAAGATCTGTCCATTCATGTTATACACTTCATAGAAAGAACACAGTACATGTTGAAATTTAAATGTATGAGAACATTAGAATTCAGCTTACCTTATTCTCAGAATATATATAATAGCACAAAAGATACCCCAAGTTAAGAGTAACACCAACTATATTCACACGGGTCATGGCCGGATCATTCAAGATATTGCTGTATTGCATCATTAGAATTCCCCTGCAGGAAATGAAGCAACCATTAGACCATTCTTTCTTTTCTCTGAAGCAATTATAGAGGATGGGATTATATACTAAGCCCTACATCACTACCTGAGATTTCTGCTTATGCCGACAAGTAGGATAACTAATGAATGTTTTGATCATTTTTTTACATCCCGCTACATGCCTATGCAGGCGCTTGTGGGGAGTGGAGGTACAGCTCCTACTCTTTCTTGACCTCGGCACTGAATGGGGGTGAGTGATTAGCATCACGCCCCAGCTACGCTTTACTCCCAAGAAAGAACACCTGTACCCATCGGACAGGAGGCTTGGTGGGCCCCAGAGCCGGTCTGGACGCAGAGGCCAGAGGAAAAATCCTCTACCCCTGTTGGGGAACGAACCCCAGTCATCCAGCCCATAGCTAGTCACTGTACTGACTCAGCTATCCCAGCTCATGTTTTATCATATTGCTTAATCATAATTATTTAAAAAGCAAAAATCTTACTAGTGTTGATTACTCTATACTCACATTGCAGAACCACCAATAAACGGTGCACCAGACACATTTTCTGTTGATCCTTTCTTCACAATATCTTTGCAAATAAACCTGAAACAATAAATACTTAATCATGCTACAGAAACTAACTGTGCGAAGCAAAGTCTTTCTTAAGAAGCTTACGGTCACTCAGTTTGTCAAGAGATTCCCTGCCTTTTATGGAATCCAAAAGTTCACTACCATGTTCACAACAGCCCAACATGGTCCATGCCCTAAGTCAGATAAATCCAGTCCACAAACTTCCACTCTATTTATTTAATATCAATTTTAATATCATTCCATCTATACCGAGGTCTTCAGAGTGATCTCTTCCCTTCACATTTTTCTGATCAAAATTCTGTCCACATTTTGCATGCTACATATGATATACTTTATTTTCAAAAACATATTCCAATTGAAAAAAGGTCATATTACCTGTCTCATTCTCAGAATTTACCCCACAAATAAAACTAAGATGAGGTGAACAGCTCTGATATTAACATGAGAATCTGTGGATTACTTCAAATCTCTTCAAGCAGATATTCATTCCATACATCAGTGGTGTGATGATAATAATATGGAACTTAACACAGAGAAAACCAAAATTATATCGTTCAAACGTAAAACCAACAGTATTCATTTTAATTACTTTGTTAGTAACATTTTAATCTTGTATACTAATTGTATAAAAGATCTTGGTGTTTTCTTAGACAGTAAACTATATTTTCATTGTCATGTAAATTTTGTTCATTTTCAGGCACTAAGGACCTTGGGGCTTATTCGTTTTATTACATATAATTCTTCCTCTTTAGACAGTCTTGTTGTTTTGTATAATGCTTTAATTAGGTCAAAGCTTGAGTATGCCTTGGTCGTATGGAATAATCTTACACAGGCAGATTCTAATAAATTAGAAAATATTGAAAGGAAATTTGCCACTTTGTGCAATTACCGATTTTTTTCAGTTTAATATCACACATAAATATGAATTGATTTTAACTACTTTAAGTTTCAGAACACTTTATTCCAGACGACGGCATTTCAACGCTTTATTTCTTATTAATGTATTTAAGGGCAAAATAAATTGCAGTTCCATCATGGAAACTGTTGGTATTCATGTGCCGTCAAGGCAAATAAGAGAATTTTCTATGTTTAGTGTGTGCAGTGTGCTTAGACACAGTCCTTCAGCCAGGTGTGTCATTGCTGCAAATGACGTTTGTAAATTTTTGGATGTATTTGGCATAAACATTGTTTCTTTTGAGGGCACTTTCTCAATAAGAGAAATGATCTAGAGAGTGGTCTAGACGGGTGATCTAGCTTGGTTATTTGTTTTATTTTGATTATTGCTTTTATTTTGTTTTAGTATTTTTTTAGTGTTTTACATTTATATTAGTGTTTACATTGGTAGTTTATTTGTTTTTATATTTATTTGTATTTTTTGTTGTACTTTTGTATTAATGTTTGCCTGTCATAGGCTCTTTGCTGTTGGCAAACACTCTAATAAAGGAATTGAACTGAATTATCAGTGTTTGCCTGTTATTGGTTTCTTTCTGTTGGCAAACACTTAAATAAATAATTTTAATTGAACTGAATTTCCAATTCAATTAACAATTATGTGCAGCCTTCTTCCTTTGCAATATGTTCTACAATTTGTGTCAATTCTCAAACATATAACCCACTCATATAAGATCTAATCCAAGCACTGTTCTTCTTTAACTGAACATATCAGAGTCCTTCACTCACTACTGTGGTTACCCACATTATCATATTTTATATATTCTGATTAGTCCTCTTCAAAACTACCCTACAAAATAAATTCACACAAGGACAAGTGCCCCTAAATGAAATTAAATTTGACAAAGTATGATTATAAGATATCAAGAAAAAATAACTGATGCTCTTCTGTGGTGAAATACCAAGATAAACTAGCATCAGACAGTTAAAACAGATGATACACTTAATTTTACATAATTTACATTCTATAAATTCTACATAGTCATTCCAGAGTAAATTTAAAATATAATTATGCATGACACTTTTGAAACTATGTAAATCATTAACAGTCTGCTGTTAATTTATATTTATGAATCCATCAACAGAATACAGAGTGTGTTAACTTCAATCATCTCTACCTCCTCCCTCTGCACAAAGGAGCTGTGGTAAAAATAATGACCCTTGAAATATCAACTGTAAAACTGCTACTGTACAAATTATATCAGTATTAAAATGAATAAAATAAAAACCTATATTTTATCTAACAAACATGACATCAAAATTTGCAGTGCCAAAAATCATATTTACTGCAATGAAGGTATAGATAAGGCATGATGTGCATAGACGACCAACCCACTAAGATCAATATCATGCATGATGTGCTAGTGCATCATATACATTCAAGTTTAAAGAAAATTAAGCAATTTAAAGAAACAGAAGAATAAAAACAGAATTGGTTAAAGAAGCAGAGACATTTTATGGCAAGCAGGAGACTGTAAGAAACTGAACAGCAAAAGTAGATGAGATTACAGCAAAACAAACAAAGAATAGAAACACAATAAATAAAAAGAAAAGCACCAGAAAACTAGAGCAAAGAAAACCAGAGAAACAAATGTGAAGAAAAGATTGCAAGAACTGGAAGATGAAAGTATACTAAAGTAGCTAAGAGAAATGGGTAGCAAAACATTACAAAAAACAGAAGATAAAAAAGACTTCAGACTTTAGAAAAAACAAAAAATAATGGCAAGGAAACCATCATAAAGAACAGACACTGAAAGAAAAACTGCCACATGATTATTATAACTGGGATTTCCATTTGAAGTGATTTTGTAAAAAATTTCTAGCCTATACCTCAAAGTTTCCAGTTTAATATTATTTTTAAATAAAAAGACAGTTACCCATGGATTCCACTAGTGGAATAATTATGACAGAATTACAGATTTCTCAAATCAGATCTATAAAATGCAACTGATAAGCATATGTCAAAATAATGAGCTACATGGGAACACCCTCTCCAAAATAAATGTAAAATACTTATTCAGAGATATAAGACAAAAAGGAAAAGCGTTAAAATTATGAAAAGATTCAAAACAACACAGATCACATCAACTGGATGACGTTAAATAAATGTATACTCACATTCCTGCAAAAAACTGAGCAGTGGTCATAATGCTAGCTGCCGTGGCAACAACATCCTTATAATCTTCTAGTGCCATTGTTTCTTTAATCTGTAAGAAAAAAAGCAAGTTAAAGAATGCATTTTAGTAAGCATAAATACCTAAAAAAATGGGTCATTAATGTTAAGATGTCCTTGTGATTGATACAGAAACTTCACATTCTTAGGACTGAATTAAAAGTCATAAAGTTCTATAAAAAGTATTCAAAATCAGTATGACACATTTTGATTCTTAATGTGGTACGAATGATGATGAGGAAGTACTTTTGGTTTTTACACCACGTAGACTCATAGGTTGATACCAGGTCCACAGACCAATCCCTGCAAGTGGTATGGTATACATTAGCCAAATTGTATATGTGATTGCGAAAAGGGTCAAAGGGTACCACTGACACATTTGTCTTTATAACCCTGAGAACTGCTGTGGCATGGCACAACACAACATTAACCTGGGCCACTTTATCCAGTTGCAGATAAAAGACTCAAATAGGCAGGATGGCTTCTCCCCATGTAGGTCATGGAAGCCTCCCATTCATACCCTGAAGAAATGTAAACAGGATCTCACCAAGAATATGGTGTCCTCTGGTTGGCCCTGATAAATATTGAATCTTTCTCTCACTTTGTACCCAGTCCCCACCACCTGTTACCTGCTTGGAGACTACCTTCTGGCTTGGACCATTTCCTTTCAACCCTATTTTCTTGATTGGCCTACTCCCTCAGCCTTCCCCTTCTCTTGTCTTATATACATCCCTCCACTTCCCTATTCAAATGTCTCAACAAGCAGTTTCAAACTAGTGAGCTACACTAACTCAGAATTTCTATGCTTTTCCTCATTTCTAAGATGAATGTCCATGTGAAATTCAAAGGAGGCACAGCCTACCTACATCAGGACATTGGAGGCCATCAGTTAAAATTACTATCCTACCCCAATTTGCTGACACCTTCAGCCAAAGTCATCCAACCCTTCTGGATTCAACTACCAGATATCCACCAACCAAAGTTCTCTTAGCAACTGATACATTCCCTGATGTGATCACCCTCCCACAAGTAGGAGCATGCCCTAGTCTGCACATATCAAGACCTTCAACCAAGCCAACAATCCCATTAGTATATCATATCCACAGTTATAATTTAGACGGCAGGAATGGTTTAACCTAGGAAGTGACGTCTTACGCTCTGCCTTTAGTTAACTTTCTGGTTGTTGGATTGTTCAGCATCGGCATTTCAGCCCTGAAGATGAAGACAGCATATTTATACGAAACGTTCGCATCCACCTACTAGTCTACACCGCGTCAATACCCAAAGAACATCAAAGTCAGAATGTAGCTTATGTTGTAAAAATATACCAAAATTACGTAATAATAAACATGATTTTATGTTAATCGTAAGGGAAACGCAAATATCTGAAACATATTTCATTACTGAACAAATAAATAAAACTAACATCAGATACGACATACTACAACTTACCAATAAAAAAATTGTTATCACAAATTATGCATACACCTTTTCATAAGTTAACCAACACAGCCACGACTGAACACAGCCAAATTAATTTAATCTCCTCAATCATACCACAATTATTACCAACATCAGTAACTCAATGTTGTAAGTTGGCAACGTACATTACGTAATTGTTATCCTGCTATCTTCCCGCAGTGGCATTAAACTACTGGAAAACGTTTCGTCGGCAGCAGCCACTGCCCATAGCTCAGTAGGTAAAAACTACTACTGAACTAGCACAATTCTTCCCAGTCGCAAAAAGATAATTTAAATGGTGAACAGGTCGTAGTACATAGGAAAACACCAGAGTGGAGGCCTTAGACATCTCAAGTGTGAAAACTGGGGTGCTCATGATGATGAAGATGTCAGTGCTGTTTTGTTTATGTTTGATCCTTTGAAGCCGAAACTCATCTAAATAATATTTAAGAATTCAGTCCGTACCGCAAAGAAAACAACTCTTCACAATTAGAGATCAGTTAACGCTGTTTAAAGAGCTAATCGATGAATTAAAAAAACAAAAATAAATAAATTAAAGATAGCTAATTTGGAAGGCAAATTAACAAATAACTGCTTTAGGAAAGAACGATACGTTTTTCAGTCTGACAGTGAAAGAAAGCACACGAGGCAGTCCGAGATAAAGAGGTAATGAATATCATGGGATGAGACTGTGGAGAGGCTTCTTGAAAGTTGTAGATGATTAATTAGTACATTTACAAGCATATCACCTGTGGTGGATATTGAAACCTGTCAACATATAGTCAATCCAAAATTGATCATAAATTATGCTGTACTTAACCTTCAAAGGGCCACTGCATAATTCAAGACACAGTAATGTTATCTTTAATTGGCCCACTGTGTACTTTAAGAAAAAGCACACATCACATCAGCTAATATGGATTTTTGTTCACCATATTGATTCTAATGAACAAAAATATTGTTGGTCAACTGTAGAAGACTAACCTGCATAAATTTTATCAAAAGGGCCCCTTGCTTTTGTTTTATAAACATTTTTACACAGGCTTCCTTAAAAACTAGCAGCTATACTCTAACATTCAAATGAAAATTGAGCACAAGGTTGTATAGTATTTCAATAACATGATTTGAAATGGGCACAAGTAATACTGATTCTGACAAGTGGACCTCTGAAATTCAGATGTTAACTTTCATAAATTTGTTGGATGAACACAAGATTTTTACAGTGCAGTTCCAAGCACACACATATTCATATTATAAAGCTTCACTTAAGAATGCAATGCAATCAAATATTTTTTGTTAGTAATTGTGCTGTCAAATTTAGTTTTTTGCTGAAACAAAAAATTCTTGAAGGTACACGTCATTTACTTGCACACTAATATGTGCCTGTTCTAATTTAGCAGTTCATTTCACTATACCTTGTGCATTGGAGTGGTCTAATGTTGTAACCACGTGCCTATACTTTTTTTAGATTAGTTTTCTCATTTACATAACACAATTTATTATCAATATATAAATAAAAATAATAGGGCTTTTGAAATGTGCCTGTTTCAGTGAGAAAATATGGTATCAGGACTGTATATAGGTCAGGAGAGAAGCTTGCAGATGAGGAGCCAACTGTTTGGAATAAATATTTTTTTGTTATTCAAAAAGAGAGCTAATTAGAATAACTTTACAGCTGATGTTACAAGGAGAGCAAAAGCAGTTTAAGGCAGTCACAGAGATTTATAGGAACCAGCGCTGGGAAGTGTTATAATGCGGCATCTGGTAATTCCTCTTCGATAGAATACTCCAAATTCTTCCCAGTGCAGTTTCTGATCACATTATTATTGGCAGTATCAAATCTGTGCTACCATCAGTATGACATCCAGCAAGTAACTAGCGGCCTGACACCACAGAATATCACAGGTAAAGAGATGAAAATGTCCAGAGATCATTATTATAAGATTACAAGATCATGTGAATGAGACCTGAAAAAAAAGGATGGGTTAAATAAACAGGATGCAAGGAAATGGAATTGATTGGATTGTGATCCGAGACAATGTGGGCCCTATTCAACATTTATTTTGATAAAAATTTGGATGACAAATAATACGCATCCCAAAAATATTCAATATTCAAAGCATCAACTACTGAAGGACACAATGCACCGACAAGGGACTCACAAAGCACAGTTAACCCCAAAATCACGTAGCAGTGACTGTTCTCACAGCATGTAAATGTTATTGGCAGTATCCTGAATAGTCAACTGAGAATTCAATGTGAAAATAAGGCTACAGGGCCTTCTGAATATCACTGCAGTATGTACCCAGTGAGGGATTAAATACCAGCTTTAGGTTAAGAACACAAATACATAGACATACTCCCTGAACAAACTCCACTTTCAGGTGTTATCCTGTGATGTCAATGAATCCAATGGTTTCTGTGTAACCCACAGACTTAAAATAAGCAGCAGAAACAATATGCAGACACACGTGACAGTCTGGAAGTTTACAGGATGGAGATCAGGAGGGACAATTGCTGAGAGTATTTTATAAAAAAAAATTGAAATAAAGGACAACAGGCATGCTTACAGACTCCCATTTACATGCCTATAAAACTTCATAAAACCTATCTATTTTATGACTTGATAAATCCTGGATATGATAAATGAAAGAACTTGTCTGAAGTTTCACTTGAAGTGAAAGCTGATGTAATTCATTTCACACATTACAGACACATTTTATTAAACACCTCCCACACAAAACTGTATCAAACACAATAATAGCTGCTGGAAATGAAACGTGCAACATCTGGTTGACAGAGGACAGCATCCACACACAAGCATTCAACCTGTACGCAAGACCTAATTACTATAATCTAATAATGTGTTCTACTGAACAACTGAAGGTTCCTTTTACATACTGAACATTTCACTTACAGGTATATGAAACCTAACTCATACAATGCAGTTTGACAGCACATTCAGTTTATACATTTGACAGGTTCAGAAGTGGAGTATTATCACTGCATTTCAAAATATTCATAGTATTTTATGAAAAATTACAATGTATATTCATTCAATATTATATGTAGCACATAAACATTCTGTTTGAAATGTCAGCCCTCATCTGAAGGATAATTAAAGATGCTCTAAGCATATCTCCAGGCAAACTTTACAGTATCCAAGTGACAGCAAAAAATCACAATTTAGTGAAACAATGTAGCCACTTGGATATTATACAAAACGAAGAAGACAAACAAGATGCCTGTTTTACTGTATAGCTACAGGTTGCATGAACAACATGAACAAAATTTTGAAGGTTTGGCACACTGCAGTCGTCATCTTCAGGATGATTATTTTTGGCAGATTTGGAAACCTTTACATCATAGATCTAGCAGTGTAGGAGGTGAGTGGTAAGTGAAAACGACTGTCTTCTGGGATGCTGCACCATGCATTCTGGTAGAAACTGCCTAAAAATTGAGGTGTGCTTCATCCACCATAAAGTCAAAGACTAAGCGACGGGAAATATAGGTCTGGCATGCAAGGAAGGAACAAAGCAGCCCTCATCAGGGCTGACAAGGGAACCAACAGTAAAGATCACAAAAGCAAACTTCATATTGTTAGGCTGTAGCTTGATCTCAGTAGCCTCCATGACTGTCCTTTCCAGTATGTCTTGACTTTGTGGAGAGGATGCTGGTGTGCTGGTTTTGGATTCTATGGCCCAGTTGTATGTTGTCTTTGCCCATGGTAGATTTACCTGGATGTTCCAGACAAATGTGCTACTGGTGCTCCTTAACTGTTGATGGCTCAAGAACTTGTTAGATCTGCAGCTGTTCCAGAAACCACGCTTTTCATGCAGGCTTTCACTGCAAAAACAACCAATGTGTAAGTAGAGCCTGTTTGTTTGAAGGGTGGCAGCGGGACTTGAAATTGAAACAGGTTATTTTGTGTGAGTTTATGGCACAACCCACCCCAGTCAAACTCAACCTTGGGTCATAAACCCACACAAATTACCATTACTTAATTCCATCTCCCACCACTACCTTTCCAACATTTCCCTGCATGCATTTATATAAATTTATCCTATATTTTTTAAATTTTAATACCCCTTTTCTCTGTTTAGTTTACATTTAATTTGTTTTATGTGATCACTGTCAGTCAACTTTTGGCCCTGAGAAAGGCTGTTTCTTCTCTTTGTTACATGTCCCACTTATACCTGTACTTTCCTGGTATTCATTTTTTAATTTTGGACTGTTTTAATTGTTCTTTATTGCTCTTCCATTTCATAACCTTAAATTTGTTCCTTCCTATCCTCATTCCACTCATTGAAATGTCTTATCTACTTCTATGGTTCTATCTCATCTGGCATGTCAGTAAATTTATACCACATTACATAGTACAACATTCCAGCAGATCGTCATCTTCACATTTGCACTTTGCTGGTAGCTCCTTATTCATCTGTTAATCTATTCAAATTTGTTCCCACATGTTTCTGCTGTGTAGGGCTTTGTACCCACAACATATTACATCCACAGACAAAATTTTCAGTGAAGACAGCTGTCTTCCAGGTTGTGGCGCCATTTAATCTGGTGGAAGTTTACTGACACTTCACAGGTGCTTGCTGCATCTGTCATGAGGGTGATGATTAACCCTTCAGCGTGGAGTGCCGAACATCGCTCGTCATGACGTAATCATCCCACGGCATGGAGTGCCGAGCACTGCTCGCATATTGCGCCCTAAGACTTCTTCTTCGTAACGACTGACCTTGTAGTTAATGTATTCTGACTCTGACAGATCGATTTTACCAGTGTTTTTCGATTTTGAAATATAGATCAATTATTGAACTCAACTGCATTCAGTCTCTGCTCTGTGGCTCCCTCTATCGAAGACGAATGGAGTAATATAGTTACGGCTACGACAGCTGTGTAGGACACATTGCAAGCTTTGAAACGGTATATGAGGTCAGCAAGCTGAGTCAATGCATTCTCTGTTTTCCTCTTGGTATGAACAGACTTCTGTAGTACATATCTGCCGTCAGTCAGCCGTGATTATGGCTTCGAGTAGCAGATGCTTTTTGTCTCCTCAAGACATTGATAGAACTGTAGACGACCAAAGCATAGTGTGTTGTGAACATTTTGTTCAAAGTTTCACTTAAATTCATCAATTATTAGGGAAGTTGTGCCCATATAAGTAAAATGATGCACTTTCAAGCTCAAAATTAAATCCCCAAGCAGAAAATCCTCCCACAGCACAG